CTAGAATGCTGGGTTGTTTCCGCATAGTGAAAACTTTTGGTGGTTATTGGACAGCCAAGTATAATGTTGAGGGCTTCCTTTTGCATTTTTTCCTGTCTTATCAATATTTTTGCCATTATACAGGACTAAAACTGGTGCATGATAGTCTATCAGGGACCTTACACATGCTAAGTATATAATTCTTGCTATTGTAATATTAACACTGTATTTTATGGCTGTATTTTATCTACAGTTGTGAGAGCCTTGAGTGTGTGTGTACATTGTTGTAACTTGTGTACGGCAGTTGAGGTAGACGGAACTGAGACAACAAGGTGTCTGTAAGAGGAGACATGGTCTAGAGGTACGTTATTACTCTTTTGTGTTTGTGTTGACACCTGGTGGTGGCCCTCGTGGCCCTGGCTGGGGGCACCGGACACCATCTGGGTAGTTACACTCATATGACTACACTTGACCTGATCTCTAGTGTAGTTCACGTTAGTCAATTATTATGCACCCTATACCCATCCCGTGACCGGTTATCTTGAGATCTTGAGATGATTTCGGGGCTTAGCGCCCCCGCGGCCCAGACCTCAACCAGGCCTCCGTTTTGTTACACATGCATGCATGTTACACATTACATGCATTCCACCCGTTAACTACTCTGACAATGAAAAAGTTCTTTCTAACGTCTCTGTGGCTCATTTGGGTACTCAGTTTTAACCTGTGTCCCCTTGTTCGCGTCCCACCAGTGTACATGTGTGTGTGTGTGTGTGTGTGTGTGAGAGCTCAGGTGCCCCTCATATCTAACACACCTTCCCAGCCTTCTGCTGCAGAAATAGCGAGCACAACATGTGACAGACTATGGGGGAAGTCGTGGGTTATCGCTGAGAGCTGCTGATGTTGTTTTTAGATTCAATTCCTAGGAACCAAATTTCCCTTTAGCACGGGCTATAGTGAGCCCGTAATGGTCTGAGAGTTGATTGATTGGTGAAGATTAAGCCACCCAAGAGGTAGCACGGGCATGAATAGCCCGTAATTCTCAGAGCTCGATGTTGTTGTTTTAGATTCAGCTACTCAGAACAAAAAGTTCCAGTAGCACGGGCTATGGTGAGCCCGTAAGTCTGAGAGCTCGATTGTTATTACTTAATAAGTGCAAGTGGTTTAGGTGAGGAGACGCGCGAGGCCACAGTGTGGGAGTTCAGGGACGGGGAGGGTTGAGATTCCTGTTGGTCAAGTTGTCTTCCCTGCTGCTGCTGGTGTCGCCCCTCACCCTCGTCTCTCCCGCCCTTCAACAGTGATTGACATGAATATGCAACTTGTAAGACGCCGCGGGAGTGTCACAAAACATATATTTCTGCATTTAGGTTTGATCGGCCGTGAGAACTTTATGATGAGAGGTGTGGCGTGTGACGGGAGTGTTGGTGGTACAGGTAGTTGTGGCCTAGTTCACACCCGCGACCACACGAGGCGTGTGAGGACGGATGCTCCGTCCCTGAGCGGAGGACGGGGCGGAGAAACCCCACAGTGGTGAGAGATGGCCTGCAGGCTCCACCAGTCTTGGGGCCCACATAAGGAGTGTTCTATAATGAGTTATAAAACACCGGGGAGGTTAATTACCTGAGAAGCGCATGTGGGGGTGTACTGGCCTAGTTAGGCTTGTTTTGCCTGCATCATCATCATTCTCCATCATTACCCTTCATGCTCTCACATTAATTACTCCAGGAATCTGGTAGTGAATACCACTGACTTCAATTAATGCTGCCCCCATAGTAAGGTCTGCCGGTGGGAGGTGTGACCTCTCCAGCGACCAAGAACTAGAGCCTGGCCAGGCCGTCTTCCTGTTGAGTGCTTACAGTAACCACGTCCACCGTCGTACATATATTGACCTTGTGGACAATTAATATGTAAAATTTGGTACTATTGAATTTTGGACTAAATGGAAAAGGTTTTATATTTATGTTCCTAATAAAACCTAATCGACCTAGGCCTGATATACCGACTCTGATGGATAATATAGTACATATATATATATGCTATACTAGGCCTAGGGATATTTTGATTTTTTTTTTAGCTTTATTTGTGCAGAACTGTATTGGATAGTGCCAAATTCGTTTATGTAATTGTCCCTTCTGTCTATATATGTACAAAACGTACTCTCTCAACAGGAGAATGTGTTGGTCAGGCGTTCTGGACTTGTACTCCCAGCTCTGGTAGTGTGGATATGTCAGCCTGTCTTGAGGCCTCTTACGGACTAATATACAAAAATATTAAGCGATAGGAGAAAGCAGATTGTGATGAGAGGTGGTGTTCTCTGAGGGTATCCCTGCAGGTGGCACCGGAAGTGATTGTTCACCAGCGGGGGGGGGGGGTGTTGCAAGGAAGCAGTGGACAAAACCCGGCGTCCAGGCCGGCGTCCAGGCCAGCGTCCAGGTCGGCGTCCAGGCCGGCGTCCAGGCCGGCGTCCAGGCCGGCGTCCAGGCCGGCGTCCAGGCCGGCGTCCAGGCCAGCGTCCAGGCCGGCGTCCAGGTCGGCGTCCAGGTCGGCGTCCAGGCCGGCGTCCAGGCCGGCGTCCAGGCCGGCGTCCAGGCCGGCGTCCAGGCCAGCGTCCAGGCCGGCGTCCAGGCCGGCGTCCAGGCCGGCGTCCAGGCCGGCGTCCAGGCCGGCGTCCAGGCCAGCGTCCAGGCCAGCGTCCAGGCCAGCGTCCAGGCCGGCGTGCCCAGGTGATGCAGGCCAGTGTGCCCCCGGGGGAAGTATACGCCAACATCACCACCTTAACCCTCCTGGAGTTACTCATCTGTGAATGACTCCACTACACAGTACTGATGATCCTCGTGTGTGTGTGTATACTACAGCAGCCAATATAAATGAAGGCGGGCATAATTATGACTTGGGTGAGTAGTTACATGATCATTGGAGGTATATATGGACGGTGGTGGCTTCTTATCTTGAGGTTATCTGGAGATGATTTCGTGGCCTAGCCTCCCCGCGGCCCGGTCCTCGACCAGGTCTCCTTTTTGTTACACAACGCCAGGAAAGCAGCCCGTAGTAGCTATCTAACTCTCAGATTTGCATACTGGTGAACAGGTACATCAGGGTGAAAGAAACTCTGCCTATTTATTTCCGCCTCCGCCGGGGATCGAACCCGGGACCTTAGGACTACGAATCCTAAGCGCTGTCCACTTAGCCGTCAAGTCCCACCCCCCAGGCTTTGTCATTCATAAATTGTATTTCCATCTGACTTTTAAAGTATATGAAGAATGTTTTATATGAGGGACAATGGCGTGGTAAAGCGTGAGGCAGCAGACACTTGGTGTCCGTATGGCAGATGTTTGGTGGGGTGAGCGGGCGGTGGCGGTGTCCCCCGCGCTACACAGTATTGTCTCTCACTTCTTGGAAGGTGACGACCATGTTGGCGCCCTCGGACCTGGAGGGACCAGGTCAACCAAGGTTGGCCGACGTGAAGGGCGTCTGGTCACCAGTGGTCACCACCCTTCATGGACGCTGGTTGTCAACATAGCACTTATTATGCACCTGATGTCTCTCACCACGTTAGGCTTTTGTATTTTATTTGATTTTATTTTTTTTATTTTTTTTATTATATATACAAGAGTTGTTACATTCTTGTACAGCCACCAGCACGCATAGCGTTTCGGGCAGGTCCTTAATCCCAATAATCCCAATATTCCCAGACTGGAATACGACCCACCAAATCGTTTAACAACTAGGTATTTATTTTATTGTTGTTTAAGGGGCCCAAGAGATTAGTTTACTAAAAGTTGTTAAATGTCAACCAATATTTTATGACTAGTTGTATAGGAAAAGGGCTGCAATTGTTCCAAGTTTCAGTACTGCAGCCTAAATAGAAAGAGAGATTTATATTTTTTGTTTTTTTCAATGAATATTACACATTTTCAAGTGTGTATGTACAACCACACGTTTCAGATATAAACATTCTGACACTTTTCTGCCACATTTGCATACAATAAAGGATCTGTAGTCAGGGATTTTCCAAAACATGTTTAGTCTTCCTAATACAATAGTCAAAATTCCCCCCCCCCCCCAAAAAAAAAAAAATATATGCAAATGTAACATGTTTATTGCTATTATAAAATCAATAAATGAACTTAGGAAAAAAAACAATGACTACAGATTTTAAAGACATACTTTCTTCATATAAGGTGTAAGTTTCATGTAAATTGAATAAAAAATGAAAGTTATATGAACGTTTATGTTACGTGACATAATTAAGTAAAAAATAAAGTCTAAGGTGCTGCCATCTGTGGCTGAGGTTGACATCAACCAATTTCCTGGCCCCCTTGGCACCCTTACAGATAAGTTTACGTGCCGTCAGGTGTATAAGTTTCATGCAAATCGTCCAATAAAGAAATAAGAAAAATAAAATTGAAAAAAAAAAAAAAAACAATTTTTTTTTTAACTTTTTTGGTTAATAAAACTAATTGTTTTTAAATATATGATATTGTGCTAGCTGAGAGTCATAGACATGATTTCAGTTGACACTTGTGTTTGATAATCATTTTTGACCATTTTTGAAAAATTTTGACACCTACTTCAATATTTTTTCCTCCCTTCCTATTTATGCTACGATGGTGAGACTTGGACCAGATGAAACCCTTTTCATATACAACTCGTCAAAAAAGTTTGATTGAAATCGAAATCGAACCAGTTTTCATTTTTGGCATATTAGATTCTCTTGGCCCCTTAAACAGAGGCTACAGTTAAGGATTGACGCCCAGTAATTCGTCCCCGGCCAGGATACGAACCCCAGGACAAAGCGTTCGCGAAACACCAGGCGAACGTCTTACCACTACACCACTTGTTGTTGTACTTGGTACTTGTATTTGGCCGGCAGTGTGTGGACCACGGGTATCCTGGTGGCCAGGTGGTACTGGTGTGTGGTACACGTACTGGTGTGTGTTAAGAGTAGGGCTCCGTGCCGGTGTGGTGGGCTGGTAGGAGCAAGTTGTGTAGGAAGGTTCACGCCGCGTCAACCACCAGGCTGCTGGAGCACCAACCAGTTAGTGCGCGTTTAGACTCGGTGGGGAGTGGACGTTGCGCCGTCACTGAGAGTTGTGTGCCCGCGTGGCTTATCCAGTCAACATTTCTGAGTAAGAGTGCTGTGTCGAGCACATTATGAACGTGTCCATTATTAGTCTATGGAACTGGTGGACGTGTGTGTGTGTGTGGGAGTGATGAGCGTGGAATGTTTATTATAGTAACTATTGATTACAAAGGCGGTGAAGCCAGGAGCAGCACGCGGCTCTTGTTATGCTCCCACCACAGCTGCTGCTGCTCCCGCGTGGACCCCCTCCCCCTTCCCCCCCACACTCCCCACAATGGGCAAGGACCATGTATGTACCTAGTTGTGCTTGCCGGGGTTGAGCTCTGCTCTTGCGGCCCGTCTCGCAACTGTCAATCAACTGTAATTACCTAAGTTGTAGTTACAGGATGAGAGCTACGCTCGTGGTGTCCCGTCTTCCCAGCACTCTTTCGTGTACCACACTCTTTGTCATATAACGCTTTGAAACTACTGACACCTCACCCTGTCCTTGTGTATGTTGTTGTTGTTAAAGATTTAGCTACTCAGGACGAAGTGTCCATGTAGCACGGGCTATGGTGAGCCCGTAATCCTTGTGTAGTGGTGCTTCCCTTATCGCTGACGACCGGCAAGTGAGGTGTAGATCTTGAAACTCCGCCTACTAGTCTACGTTGTATCTTTTTGCCTTGTAATTAAAGTATTCCCATGTTGGAGTTGTTGGGTGAATGCGACCCTAAGATGACGCGTCGCCTTCCCCCAGGACACACCTATACTCGCACGCCGCCACTTGCTGACTACACCTCGACACGGTACATTTAGCATGCAAGTAGCAGTGTGTTGGGGAGAGCGAGGCTATGCCACCGCAAACATCACCACAAGCCACGTCTTGGCCAGCTCAAGTACCAGTCCTAAGGCTGGGTCAATTACCCTACAGTTTTGAGTAGCTAAACGTGAAGCAATCCCGACACGTGTGGTAAGGAACGTTGCTATCACATGTTCCTTAATAGTAGTTTATCGTATAGTGAGGTGGGGTCCCTCGATTGTTTCAAGCATGGGTTGGACATGTATATGAGTGGGATTGGGTGGTTATAAATAGGAGCTGCCTCGTATGGGCCAATAGGCCTTCTGCAGTTGCCTTTGTTCTTATGAAGAACTGTAATCTGCCGATTCGCTACTTGGAACAAAAAGTTCCAAGTAGCACGGGCTATGGTGAGCCCGTAGTGTTGACCAGTCAGTCATCACTCGCTACGTGGGCAGTGTTTCCCCGCCTCAGACACAGTCTGAGGTCTGAGAGTGCTTTTATAGCGCTCTTGTGGCCGTAAGTGTTGATCTCAGTGAGTCCGGGGACCTGTGTGGTGGTGGTGGGGTGTCGTGGTACTGGTATAATGATTCGTGTTGGTGGGGTGTCCTGGTACTGATATAATGACTGGTGGTGGTGGGGTGTCGTGGTACTGGTATAATGATTAGTGGTGGTGGGGTGTTTTTCCAGAAATATTCTCAACTATCAAAAGTCGCCACAGAGCCAAAGTAGCGGAAGGAAGATCCACTGTGATATGGTACGAACAAGCCACTGGGTCTTTCAAGCCTGGCAAAAAGATATCCAGAGACATTGCAGTAGCCATACACGGACTCAGACTTGGTTACAAGTGCTGCTGGGAGGTAATGAACCCAATAGTTAAAGTGTCATATCTGTGGAACAGAAGCAGAGGCGCCACTATTGCACTACTCACTGGAATGTGAAGCAACTGAAGCCCTGCGCATCAAACTCAACATTAATCCAACGACAGCAGCTGCATTAGATGCGCATTCCACCGCGACTACAATGATTAGAAAAGCCGTTGAGGATTGGGACTCACTAGTGAGAATTCTGCATCTACATCCGCCTCCAAGATAGTTATTAAAACAAGTCTAAAACCAGTGCACTAAATCAGAAGCGAAAAATAAAGCGGGAAAACAGGAATCCCCACCTCCATTTTAAACTTTGACCCAAATATCACAGTAACAAGGTTATCGCGAATAACTGAACTCAATTACGGGCTCACCATAGCCCGTGCTACATGGACACTTCGTTCTGAGTAGCTAAATCTAAAACAGCAGCAGCAGCAACGTGAGACACATTATATCAGCAGGTAATGGAGCCCACCGCAGACAATGACGAATAACTAACAACTCTTACCAAAGATGATGATATTAAACAAATGGTGAAACTCAAACCAAACAAATCCCCAGGGCCGGACGAAGTGTTTGCCAGGGTGCTTAAGGAATGCAAAGAGGAGCTTTGCGAGCCGTTGTTTACTATATTTAATAAGTTATTAGTCGGGCAGAGTGCCAGAGTCGTGGAAGGTCGTTAATGTGGTACCAATTTTTAAGAAAGGAGATAGATCACTTGCGTCAAACTATCGGCCAATTAGCCTAACGTCTATTGTGGGAAAGTTACTTAAATCGATAATTGCAAATACCATTCGTCTTCATCTTGAAAAACATAAATTATTAAACGAGTCGCAACATAGTTTTACAAATGGCCGTTCATGTTTAACGAACTTGCTATCATTTTATTCCAGCATAGTTGAGGCAGTTGATAGTGGTAAGGTTTGTGATGTTGTGTACCTTGACTTTAGCAAAGCTTTTGATACAGTGCCACATGAAAGACTGATTAAAACGATAAGAGGCTCATGGTATTGGGGGTGCTATATTAAGTTGGATTAGGGCATGGCTATACCAAAGGAAACAGTTAGTATAAATGGGGTTAAGTCAGAGTGGAAAAATGTTGTAAGTGGAGTGCCTCAAGGCTCTGTCCTGGGACCTCTGTTATTCATAAGTGTGTGTGTGTGTGTGTGTGTATGTATATATGTATATATGTATATGTGTATGTGTGTGTATGTATGTGTATGTGTGTATGTGTGTGTGTATATATATATATATATATATATATATATATATATATATATATATATATATATATATATATGATTTAGATTCAGGTTTGAGGAGCAATATTCACAAATTTGCCGATGATACAAAAATCAGGAGGGAAATAATCACGGAAAATGACTCACTATCACTACAAGTTGATCTAGATAGGGTTTTGAAATAGTCAAAAGATTGGCAGATGCAGTTTAATGCTGATAAATGTAAAGTTCTGAGGCTAGGTAATGATGATAGAGTTACAAGATACGAGCTAGATGGTGTTGAGATTGCGAAGATTGCGAAGAAAGGGATCTGAGAGTTATGATTAGTAAGAATTTAAAACCAAAAAATCAATGTATGAATGTTCGTAATAAGGCAAATAGGACACTGGGATTTATGTTAGTAACAAGACACCTGTTGTGGTTCTTCAGCTATATCTTGCTCTGGTTAGGCCCCATTTAGATTATGCAGTTCAGTTTTGGTCGCCGTATTATAGAATGGATATAAATTCACTTGAACGTGTCCAGCGAAGGATGACAGTTAATCCCACAAATTAGAAACCTGTCATATGAAGAGATTAACAAAACTTAAATTACATTATCTAAAAAGGCGAAGAATTGACATGATAGAGGCAAGTGGATGAATGGGCATAACAAAGAGGATATTAATTGGGTATTAAAAATATCAACACAAGACTGAACACGAAACAATGGATATAAATTGGATAACTTTAAATTTAAGAAAGGCCTGGGTAAATACTGGTTCAGTAACAGGGTTGTTGATCTGTGGAACCAATTGCCGCGTAACATGGTGGTGGGGTCCCTCGATTGTTTCAAGCGTGGGTTGGACATATATATGAGTGGGATTGGGTGGTTATAAATAGGAGCTGCCTCGTATGGACCAATAGGCCGTCTGCAGTTACCTTTATTCTTATGTTTTTAACTCTGAGTTACCTGGTTGATGGGGGTTCTGGGAGTTGTTCTACTCCTCAAGCCCGGCCCGGGGCCAGACTTGACTTGTGAGAGTTTGGTCCATCAGGCTGTTGCTTGGGGCAGGTTAACCGCGCCATTGGTGTGATCTACAACTCGTTCAGGTTGCTGTAACCCCCCGGAGCTACGAGGATAGAGGGACGCGTGTTAAACCTATCCCAGGTTACGGGCGTTTATTGAATTGAACTTTTGTGAAGCAAGAGGACTGTTGGCGTCCCGCGAGGAGTGAGGTCTGGCGCCACGGGGTCAAGTGCTCAGTGGTTTATACCGCGTCTCTCTTCATCTTTTACCTCTCACTGAGTCCCAAGATCAACGGCCCCGCGGCCCGGTCTCTCGCTAGGCTTCCTGGTGGGTTGATCTTGTTGACCGGGCTTCCTGGTTGGTTGATTGGTGGTTGCATCCCTGCTTGTCTTAGTGTACCTGTTGCACCTCTGCTTGTGTCTCAGTGTACCTGTTGCACCTCTGCTCGTGTCTCAGTGTACCTGTTGCACCTCTGCTCGTGTCTCAGTGTACCTGTTGCACCTCTGCTCGTGTCTCAGTGTACCTGTTGCACCTCTGCTCGTGTCTCAGTGTACCTGTTGCACCTCTGCTTTTCGAGGGTGCTGTTTTGCACATCTTGGAGAGAACGTACTCCGAACGAACGAACGCACTCCATACTGGAGTGAACGATATGGAAGAAAATGCAGAATGGAACCAGTGAAGAGCAGAGGTGCCATAGACACAATCAGAGAACACTGTATAAACATCAGAGGTCCGCGGTTGTTCAGCGTCCTCCCAGCGAGCATCAGAAATATTGCCAGAACAGCCGTGGACATCTTCAAGAGGAAACTAGATAGTGTCCTCCAAGGAGTGCCGGACCAACCGGTCTGTGGTGGGTATGTGGGCCTACGGGCCGCTGCAAGCAACAGCCTGGTGGACCAAACCCTCTCAAGTCAAGCCTGGCCTCGGGCCGGGCTTGGGGAGTAGAACAACTCCCAGAACCCCATCAACCAGGTATCAACCTGTCATGCCTCCTGGTCTCGTGTGGTAGTATTTCCGTGTTCAAATTTGGAATTTTCAGTCCTAGTATTTTGCAAGTGTAAATTCTTGTGTATTAGTAGCATGTGCCCAGAATTATACCACGTACTCAGCATAATTCAGAGTACGTGAGATAATTCTACGTGCTCAAGTTATT